TGGTATCATGAGTAGGTTAGGTCCCCCACCCGCTTCCACCCCGCGACCTAGCCTACCGCGCCTCGCCGGCCCCTATCGCGCCCACCCGACCCCTCTCACGCCATAGCTGGCCCCTCGCGCCTAACCGGCTCCTTAGCGCCTAGCCGGCCCCTTCGCGTCTAGCTGCCCCCTTGCGCCTTAGCCGGCCCCTGGCGCAAAGCCGGCCATCCCTCGCGCCGAAGCCGGCCCCTTCGTGCCCTAGCCAGGCCCCTCGTGCCCCAGCCAACCCCTCGCGCCTTCGGCGCATTGAAGGCTTGCTTCCCCGCCCCTCGGCGCCTGATCCCCTCCCAGTTGACCCCACCACTGCTGAGAGTGAGGCCTTTGCTACTGCGACGCTAGCTCACACTGTCTGGGATCCTCGCGATGCTGTAGTGCAGCTAGCCATTAGCCATGCACTTCCCCTTTCTGAGTGCCCGCGTTTCACTGCTGTCGCGAACGCCTAAGACTTCTTAGATGCAGTAGTTGCCCGCTACTCCATTTCTGCCTCCGCCTCAGCTAGACGCTTGATCCTCCCCATGCTCTTCCCCGATCTCTGTACTTTCCCTACTGTCGCTGATCTCGCAACTCACCTCCGTGCACTAGAGACTAGCTATCGCGCTGCTAGCACTATTGCCCAGCTCAATCCCTTCCCCCCGCTGTTCTGCACTACCGTGTATCTTATTGCCATGCGCCTGCCTGACCGCTTAGCCACTGCCTGCGAACACTTCCTTTGCCAGCACCCTAGAGACCTCACCCTAAACGCTTTTGTCCCTGCCCTTTCTGAGATAGAGAGTCGCCAGCACACTATCGCTCAATCGAGAGGTGTTGCGGCAGTCCCTATGTTTCATGGTTGTGCTCCCTCCCAGTGCACGTACGCTGACGTTTCCGCTGCGGTCGCTACTGCTGCACCTACCGCTGAAATTGCGGCGACGGCCTTTCCGAAGTAGCAGCGACAGCGTCGGGGCCGTCGCGACCCCACGGGAGGGTGTGGTGGTGGTGGCGGCGATAGTGGTTCTGACGAGGGGGCTGGGGCAGGCGTCCAGGAGCAGCAGCAGTAGCAGCAACAGCAGCAGCCGCAACAGCCGCAACAATTGCAACAGCAGCAGCAGCCGTGGGCTCGCCTCCCACCGGGGTGGCCAGGAGACCTTGGAGGGGGTGGCCGCGGTGGTGGTCCTCGCAACTTGGCGTCTACCAGCGGCTTCGGAGCTGTGGGCTGCCAGTACCAGCTCCCGATCGGGCCCCTTCGTGGCACTGTGTGCCGCCGTCCGCACCCGACTGCCTGTTGCTTCCGCCGCCTCGACGACCTCTTTCGTCGCCGCTTCGGCCCGGCCCTGGACCTCCCTGACTGGCCCAGTCTTGTGCGCCACGGTGTGCCTATCTTTGACTTAGACATGGATCAGATTAGTTCTGCCTTGCACTCTCTATAAGCTGACACTTCTAGTGTGTCTGGATCTTATTACCCTGTGTTCTCTAGCTTAGGCGTAGCACCTGTGTGTAGTCCAGAGACCCTTCCTGCGTCAGGCGTAGGACCGTTTGCTTTGTCTAGTCTAGGCTCCACACTCGCTCCTCCTTTGTCTGCCGCTACTACTTCGCTATCCTTCACACTTGACTCCGTTGCGTCTGCCTGCTTCTTCTGCGACCACGCTGCGCTTACGCCGCTTGCCGCGCCTGGCGCTGTCGCACTTGCTGACCCCTCCTCTGGTCCTGTATTTCCTCGCACCTATACTACCCTTCTTTGTCTAGCGGTCCCCTCGGATTCCCTTACAGGCCTGCACATCCCCTCGTTCTCCCGGAATCTAGTCGGTGCCGGCTGTCTTCAGGACCTCAGCGTCACCACTACGTTCCCGGGTCACGAGCGGTACGCCGTGTGTACCGAGGCCGCCTCAGGTTTCCCCCTTGTGGCGTTCCCCCCGGACCCGGCGTCTGGCCTCTTTACGCTGGACACTGCTCACCCCCCGGTGGGCACGTCCTCCTCGGGTCTTGCGTCTACCCTGGTCGTTGGTGCGTGCTCGTGTCGGTCGCTCACTCACGCGTCGCTCCTGTGGCACCACCGCCTAGGTCACCCTGCGCTCCCGCGTCTGCGTCACATGTCCTAGCACGGTCTCGTGCTAGGTCTCCCTGTGTCACTTCATGCGGTTGCACCTGGACATCTGGGCCTCAGCCCCCGTCCCTGGACCGCGTCGCGAGTGCTACCTTCTAGTGCTCATTGACGACAACACGCCCTACACCATGGTGTTTCCCTTGAAGCGGAAGGCTGACGTGCCTGACGTTCTTATCCCGTGGCTCGTAGCTACGTGCCTCCACTGCCGTCTCCCTGTGTTTCCACTTAGACCGTGGCGGCGAGTTTGCCTCTGGTCGGCTGGGACAGTTTTGTTGTGCGGAGGGCATCACCCAGTCGTACACCCTAACGGACTCCCCGCCGCAGAATGGGGTCGCTAAGCGACGCATCGGCTTGGTCATGGAGGTGGCTCCTACCTCTATGATTCATGTCGGTGCACCCCATTTTCTGTGGCCGTTCACCGTTTGCTATGCCGCTCACCAGCTTAACCCCTGGCCACGCTCCCAGCGGCCGCTGGATTTGCCGACCCTTCTTTGGACCGAGTTCCCTGGTGATGCACTGTCCGCTGTGTCTTCCTCAGTTTCCCCCTAGATTCGTCTGCCTAGCACTTTAACCACATGCCGTGTCACCTCTTCTTTCACTCCCGTGACGCCAATTTCGAGGAGTCTGTCTCCTTTTACCACCGCTTTCCCCACCGAGGTCTCCCGGTTTCCCCTCCCCTGTTTCTGGTCCCCACTCCCTCGGTAGCCCCTGCTCATCTTCCTCCCCGTCCTACTCCGTCGGGTGTGTCTCACATCACTCCCGTCCCGTTGATTGTCTCTGTCGAGGAGTCGGCTGACTGTGGTGGCCCATCGGCACAGTTCTTGCCGCCTGTCTCTTTCCCGGTGTCTCCTTCTCCGCTGTCGCAGTCGCCGCCGCAGCAGCCGTCGCCGCCACCGCCGCAACCACTGTCGCTGCCGTCGCAACAGCAGCAGCCGTTCGTGGCCTTTCGGGGTGCTGGCGTTGAGGAGGGTGCTAGTCCTGGGGTTCCTCTCGTGGCTTGTCCCGGCGGGCTCAGGGGTGGCACCGGTGCTGGAGAGGGTTCTCGCTCTGGGGGTGCTCATTCTGAGGGTACTGGAGTGGAGTGTTCCACAGATAGCAGCGGTGCTGCTAACGGTCTAGGTGTTGGCGTTGAGCAACAGTAGCAGCAGTCGCCGCCGGTGTCCGCCCTTCTCCTGCTCGGCCTTCTCTTCCCTGACCCCTCACCTGCGCCTCCCTCGCCACCTCCTCACCTTCCTATCCACGGTCCTGTGTTTCCTTCGCCAGACTCGTCCCCAGCTTGTTTCCCATCTCGTTCCCCTCCTGTTACTCCTTCTCTTTCTCCCGACTCAACGCCTCCGTCTCACGTGTGGTCTTACCGTCCCTCTCGTGCTCCTCCTGTCTCTCCTGTTTTGCGTTCTTACCCTATGTTGCTTTGTTCCCATGCGTCTCGTCCTCCCCTTCTGCCCTCGCCTCCTTCGTTGTCGCTCGCTGTCGCGCCTCCCCCTCTATCTGACTACCTTCGTGCTACTCGTCCTCTTGTTCATTGGGTCTTTGCCTTCCTTGTTACCGACCCGTCTGTTCCTCTCTCGCGTCTTGACACTCTTGTCGCTGCTGTCGCTGAATTTGCCTCTACCCGCCGCCTTGACTACACCACCGCTCTAGTCTCTGACCCTGTCCTTCCTCCGTCCATCAGGGGTGCTTCTGCCCTTGGCAGTGACGTCCTAGAAGATACGCAGTACGAGCTTGCTTTCCTGTTCGAGGCTGCTCCCCATCTCTGTTCCATGCTGCTAGTCCCTGAGGGTAACCCAGACACCCTCGACATCCCGACCCCTCGCACCTACGCTGAGGCCACCTTGGAACCCTGGGCCTCTCAGCGGATAGCTGCCATGGAGAAGGAGATGGCATTTTAGAGATCCACCAGCACCTACGCCGACGCTGTTCCCCCACCTGGGGTGAACGTAGTCGACGGCCGATGGCTCTTCAAGATGAAGTGCCCACCTGGAGAGCCGCATGTCTTCAAGGCGCGCTATGTGGCTAGAGGCTTCAGTCAGCGAGAGGGGGTGGACTTCTTTCAGACTTTTGCCCCGACCTCAAACATGACTACTCTTCTGGCACTGCCATACGTAGCAGCACAGCGTGACTACAAGCTCCACTCCCCTCAGGTCCTCCCAGGGCTACTGCTTTAGCCTTGGTTTGGGTGCCATCTCGTGGAGGTCCACTCGCTCCTCGTCTGTTGCCCTGTCTAGCTGTGAGGCTGAGATCTATGCCGGTGCCATGGCGGCACAAGAGCTCCGATGGCTGACCTTCTTGCTCACCGACTTAGGTGAGCGGTCTAGCTTTGCCCAAGTCCTGTACGCTGACAACCGGGCCATGATCCTCTAGTGTCAGGAGCCTCGACTTGAGAGCAAAGCGAAGCACATCCAGCTGCGATACTTTCTCCTTAGTAAGCTACAGCAGCGCGGCCAGGCCCGCGTAGCACACTTGGCCTCCAGTGCCAACACAGCTGATATGTTTACGAAGGCGCTTGCGCCTAAAGTTCATCAGCGGCACTGCTTGCAGCTTGGTCT